ACGAGAAAATGGAAAGTTCACGGTTAAGTTTTTGCCCCCTAACGTAACATCGATATTGCAACCTATGGACCAAAGTGTCATTGAAACTTTAAAACGTTTATACAGAAAGCAGCTACTGCGTCGCCTTTTGTCGGTAGATGATAGTGAAATAGAAACGATGTTAAAGTTTTTTAAAGAAATTAATTTAAAAGATTGTTGTTATATGCTGGTAGAAGCGTGGAACTCTGTGGAATCGCAAACATTGAAAAGGGCATGGAATAAATTATTAAAATTAACTCTATCTAATTCTGCAATAAAACCACACGACGATTTTGAAGAAATAACAGAAATAATGAAAGTTCTTAGCATTGGTGAAGGGTGTGATGAAGAGAATATCAAGGAGTGGCTGAACTACGATAGTGAAGACCCTGGATTCCAAATATTAACTGATGAAGAAATTATTGAGGATTTGAACAGTAACGAGAGAGAAGATGAAGAAGAGACCGAAACTGAGGATGTAACTCACGTACCATCTCATGCAGAAGCTTTTGAAGCTCTGGATGTTGCTTTTAAGTGGTTTGAAAGACAAGATGAATCGGATCCCATACAGTTGTTACAATTGAAGCGCATCAGGGACTTGGCAGCAATGAAAAGATGTGATACATTACGTCAAAAATCAATAAAAAGTTATTTCAAACCAAAATCTTAAATCACATAATTATTAAGTAATATATTAATTTTCTATGTTTTTCTAAAGCCCATTACATAATAAAAAATGATACAATTTAAATATTGTTTGATTTGCTTTGAATTCGATTATCCGAATTTTCGATTATCCGAACTACCCCTGGTTTTAATTGATTCGGATAATCGAGATTCTACTGTAATACAAATTTGTTTCAGTCAATGTAACACTAGATGACTGTATTAAATTCGTATTCAGTAGCTTCAGACTGGATGTGATTTCAAAGTTAATAAAACAGTTTACTTATTAATTCCTTAATAAGTAGTATTAATTAGTTAATAACTGTTACCATTATTTTTTTTTCACAGTGTTGTCTATTAAATTATTTTGTTTTATTTCTATCAAAACATTATATCCCTACAAATGTAGGCGGATGGTTTGACTCTGCATTTTCAATATTTACAGATATGTTTTCAATATTACAGATATGTTCCAAAAGTAATGAAATGATGAAATGTAACCATCATCTTAACTAATTTTGACCTAGTGTTAGTTGGTCTAACTTGATTATAATATTTATAACCTCAAAATGTATTACAATTTCACGGAGGAAAAAAGCTCAAAAAAGAACAACCTCAAGATGAAAGAAACTTCAAATTTCCAAGAAATTCTCAAATTCAGTTATAAAAATGTGGGTAAATTTCATATTTTACATGATGTTTGTAGAATTAGTCGATTTAAAAATCAGCATTTAACCCTTTGTGTACCGAATACACCATTCAATTTCACAGTTCAATAATAATAAAACAGGATACTTATATGAATATTGTTTATAATCCAAATAACCCATGGGGCATAAAAACACGTAAACAAAACTAGCTAAAAACTCACCTGTATCAAACAAATAAATCTTGAGTAATGATAATAATATCAATTTTATTTAAAACAGTGAAGTTCTTCCGAATGCGACCGAATATCTATGGTTGGTTGTCACGTAAACCCACGTGTTCAAAACAATCGATCAACGATTGTTAGCGACGAATACAAACGCACACCTTCTCTGACGCTAGCGAACTAAAAACTGAGACTTCACTCCGCATATCGTTCTATCGTACGTTCGTTAAGTTTGTATACCAACTTGCATCATTCAGTTGTAGGTCGTCGCAACCGTAGTGTGACGGTGTGAGTGTGGCTGCGCCTCTGTGTCTATGGCAACGTGGATCACATCTGTCCTTCGATTCTATCCTTTACTGCACGATGCATTATGAGGGTTAAAGAAAGTGAAAGATCGATTACTATTATAATGTCTCCATTATCAAATGAAATTCATTTCTTTTTATTTTGTTTGTTCAGAAATACATCGTTCAACAGCTAAGGTAATTACTAAGTGAGAAACATACAATAAAATTTGAAACTTAAGTAGAACTAAACTAGATATTTGATATTTACCACCACAGTGAAAAAACCTTTGCAGTCCCTGTTATCCCCTACATTCACCTTTGTTGGCAAGATAGCTCTACCAAAGAGAGAATATCTTTGTCTTTGTTCGTAACCTATAAAAAATAATTTCATCCTGATATGATTTTTCAAATACTAGTAATTATAAATTAATTATTTAATTTAATTAAAAATACTAAAAAACGTTATTTGTACAGTCAGAACTTTGTAACTTGAGAAAAATGGATAACCGGATGTACTTTTGTTTATTAGAACTTTTTTCCTTGAAGTTACTTACGAATATCCCCTCCCTCCTAAATATTGCCGCGACTTTATGAAACACCCTGTATGCAAGATGTTAAACTCTATAGTCTCAGATTACAATGAGAACTATTCTATATCTTATTTGGTTCAAGGAATTATACAAAAACTTTCGAACATTTTGTATATTTAGATTTTAAATCTTACTCTGGGCTTAATGTCTCACAAATAGATTGGATAATAATATTATAATGTTGAGTCGACATGTTTCATTAACAAGACTGGCTGTTAGTTTTGATAATGAGCTGACCGCTCGAAACGTTGTAATTTAATTTTATCTATAATAAAAACATGAATCGCAAAATAAGTTGGTAAGCGCATAACTCACCAACGCATCGACAAATTTTGCCAATTCTTTTTGTAAATGTTGAAAAGTCCAAGGACGGTTTTCACGGCGAGAAAAATTCGAATAATTGCCAGAAAAATCCTAACAACAGCCCTTTTCTTTTTCCCATACAAACGTTTTCTTACTAAAATATAGAATCAAGTGCTGGACCGATTTCACTATTTTTTGTTGTGTTTCATATTGTCAGGAAAAAAATTTGGAAAACTGCGTGTAAAATTAGAAAATTTATTAATACTTAATTAATAATATAAGTAAGAAATATTTATTAATTCTCAAAAAGAGGATGTTCAAAAACTGAATATCTTATCACACATCACAGTTAGTTCAGGGCTATCACGACTATAATATTAAAACTTAATTTAATATAAAATTTTGGTAATATTGAATAGACTTACATACACGTTACCTACTAACCTAGCACGTGGTATATTTAAGAATTCATACTTTTCTTCAATTTACAGTCGAAATTTCGTTTTTAAAAATGACAGCTATTAGATGTACAAACTCAAGTCGCAGAACTCGCAATGCAGCAAGTCAAAGATATAAAAGAGCAAGTCAAACTGACGAGCAACGCAAAACTCGGAATGAAGTTGAACGGAATCGATGGAATCGAAATAAACAATATGAAAAGGTTGCGTTTAACTCCTATCGACCTGCATTAAATTATAACGTTGAAATATATTACAGTTCACAGCAAATCGTTGCTATTGGACCAATTGCAGTTGTGTCTCGATATTGCAAGGCGAAGTTTAATTGATATTGATAGGAAAATACTACCACTGATGCGACAAAATATTGCGCGAAGAGTCAATTCGAGTAGACGCCATTGCTACAGCCACCAGAACCATTATATTCATTGGTTTCTTGGAATGGACTGAATTCTGAACATTTTTTGACTTATATTCAGCAAATATCATGCCGTTCAACTATAGAAATGACACGTTAATCACTTTCAATACACCAAACGTGCCAATATAGGAATTTTTTGATAATTCAACGGATTTGAAATAACAGAAAGTATTGCAGTCCCTTTGTAAATGAGTAAGTAGGTACCTGGCTCCACACGGGATAAATATTAAAAACAGAATAGTGCAGCACAAATAGTAGAACATGTCTTTCCGGCTTTTTGAAAAATAATCAGGAAAAATAAATGAGCGTACAAAGTTCGCCGAGTCAGCTAGTTATTCAATCTATTTGTGAAACATTAAGCCAAGAGTTTGTTTGAATTTTTATTGAATCATGTTTCATCAAGAGGTGAGCGAGAATTCAATCTCAGTTATTCAGATTTTGATATGCAGACACAAATATTATGATAATCTCAAGCATAGATTTATTTGAATATTTGAAAATTATCTATTCTATAGCAACAAAAACTCTAAAAAAAATATATCATTTTCCTAGATATCATCTCAGTTATCTTATTAAAAGCATTGAATTCAATTTTGTGCCAGATAAAACAGTTTGATATAAATGACACAGTATATTCGGAAGTTTCAAAAACGAAAGCTTAATATATCGTTACCTTTTTCACTTTTCTTTTGTCAGAAACATAACGTTATTAAGGTCGAACCCTCATCCATGCTAATCTTCCTAGACTTTTATCGCCCGACTTATATAGCTGCATAAAAATATCTTTGAATTGAGCATATCAGCATACAATGGAACTAATTCATCTTCTTCCGAAATTGACTATACTTCCAATAAATATAGTCACGTACAGTGACGAAACAACAATAAGTCATGTTGATATATACGTCAAATTAAACGTTGAATATTGCGGTTAAGAAACAATTACGATGTCTTGAATTGAAAGGGAGGATATGAGGCAGTCACCCATTTGTTATCTATCCGTCTTACAATTGATTATTAATGGTTGAAGAATTTAATTTAACACATGCGAATATAATTTCACCCATATTGACCCTTTAATAGAAATTGTTTTGATGGATATGCGTCAAATAATTTTCTGGGAATAATTGCATTCAATATAATTTTCAATTGATTTATACCGTCACTTACTTAATAGACATAAGTAAGTTTTTTTATGGTCATAAATATTCTCAAACAGAGACTACGTAAAAGAAAGAAATATTCAGAATTTATATGTTTTAGTACTTTTGTTTTTTTCCTCCTCTATAGTTTTTTTTTATTCACGCCATTGGGCTTGTAATCAATGTACATTACCCACAATATTTCATTATTCAAACTACTTGATTCATAGACAAGCACAAACACCCATGCCTTCAGCGGGGATCGAACCCGAGTTCTACCGCACCTTAGTCAGGTGTTTTCCCAACTAAGCCACATGGACCGTCAGTCCTCTATAGTTTGTTATTCAGAAAATCGTTTTTTAACTGGATGAAATAATCTTCGAATCAACAATAGGACAAAAAAAGGTCCGTTGACTTAAAATGTCTTATTCTCGTTGGAAAATCACTTGTTTGATAATAAGAATAGTTAGTTCAATTTGTTACTGTTGCTCTTAATACATTTTAAGCCTTTCTAGCTTAAAATTCGAATTAGACGTTGATTCTGACTTGAATATTATAATTTAGCCACACATTAAGCGATTTTCTATTTGTTGTATCAAAATAAGAAGGGTTAATGTTTTGCTTTGCTAAACTGAAGTCAGTTTCAAACATCATCAATGTTTCATCAACCACAAAACTCCATCCTTTCTCTACCACCTCTAGAATTATTTCTGGCTCCGCTAATGCTTCTTAATGTTTTTTTTTCCAGTGTTTCTTCATAGAATTGGTAGTTCTTGTTTACAATCTAATGACAGCAAACCCCATACTCACAACATTTCAGTGTGACTACAAGAGTCACCAATTGCTTTGTACCTCCTAAATATCCACCGATCAACTTCACACAGGCATCTCCAATTCCCAATTCCTTCATCAACCTCAACAAAATCCTATGTTATAGGTATCAAAAGCTTTGGGGAGATCAACAAGAAGACCTGAAGAAAAACAAGATCATCCTCCTTTGAAACCAAATTGCATTCCGATAAAACTTTATTTGTTTGAGAAATGTTGTTAGCCTAAATTTAATCACCTTCTCCGTGATTTGATATAAGTTTGATATTAAAAAAAATTGGTCTATAATTGGTGCATTGTGTTTTATCTCCGTCTTTAAATAATGGAATAACAATCGCCTTTTTCAAAATTTATGGATAGACAACTTTTTCTATTTCACGGTTAATAGGGAAAAAGATCTTTCTCGGAAATCTACGTGGTGTAACTAAGAACAGTCTCTATTTCAGGGACTAATAAAACAATTAATTATGTTCAATCTGCTCATATTTATATTATACTTTCTGACCAGGCGAACTTTGTACGCCCATTTATTTTCATCTGAATATTTTTCAAAAAGCTGGAAAGACATATTCTACTATTTGCGGTAAACTATCTTTGTTTTAATATTTATCCCGTGTAGAGCTAGGGACTTACTCAATTACGAAGGGACTGCAATACTTCTTATTACTTCAAATCAGTCGAATTATCAAAAAATTCCTATATTAAGACGTTTGATACATTGAAAGTTATTAACTTGTCCGTTCTATAGTTCCTAATTTCGTATCAAGTATTTGTCCCATATATTCCATCATTAATTATATGAGATATTTGCTGGATATAAGTCAAAAAATGTTCAAAATTTGGTCCATTCCCGAAAACAAATGAATATATTAGCTCTGGTGGCTGTAGGTACCAATAACGTCTATTTGAATTGACTTTTTGCGCAATATTTTGTCTCATCATTGGTAGTATTTTCTTATCAATAACAATTAAACTTTGCCTTGCACTATTGGCACACAACGTTCATTGGTCCAATAGCAACGATTTGCTTTGAACTGTAATCTATTTTATTTCAACGTTATGATTGACTACAGGTCGATAGGAGTTAATTTTGATTCTATCGATTCCGTTTAACTTCATTCTGAGCTTGGCGTTGCTCGTCAATTTGACATGCTCTTTTTTTTATGTTCTGCGACTGAAATTTGTACATCTAATAGCTATCATTTTTGAAAACGAAATTTCAACTGTAAATTAAAGAAACTACACATTCTTCTTTATGATCAAATATACCACGTGCTATGTTACTCTATTTAAAATTACTAAAGTTTTGTACTCAATAGAAGTTTTAATATTAGTCGTGATAGCTCTAAACTAATGGGAATGTGTGATAAGATATTCGCTTTTTTCACATACTCTTTTTGAGAATTAATAATTATTTCTTGATTGAGTATTCTTGAATTTTCCAATTTTACAAGCAATTTTCAAAATTTTTTCTCCGACAATAACATACACAACGAAAAAATAGTGAAATCGGTCCAGCTGTTGACCTTACATTTTAGTTAGAAAACGTTTTTATGGGAAAAATAAATAGGTTGTTTTTAGGGTTTTCCCGGCAATTATTCGAATTTGTTTTGCCGTAAAAACCATCCTTGGACTTTAGCGAACATTTTAAAAAAAGAATTGGCAAAATTTGTCCAGGCGTTGTTGAGTTATGCGCTTACCAACACATTTTGCGATTCGTTTTTATATGATAGATTATATGTGTGGTAATTCTCTCAATTTTATATACCGCTAATATTTCTGGCGAAACTATTATGGACACAACAAGATATCGAATCAATTTCCATGAATTGATTCGTTTACGGTCACGTAAATATCGACGTCCCATTCGTTCACTTTTAACGAGAACACAATTTTCGTTTTAATGGTAATTTGATCCACCAGAGTCCTAGAAAACGCTCGACTAAATATGTGGTTGTGTTTTTCTTCCTACTACCACTACATCAACAGTTATTTCGATCTGTAATTCCAATTTGTAGTTTGTTGCACTCAATTCTACGCCAATTTTAACGACATAGTCGATCTGCTTCGTCTCATTTATTCCGATGGGTTATAGATAGACGCCCGACAAGAGCAATGAGGAAATTATTACGCCATGTCCTGTACTAAAGTGCGTTTGGTCCGGGAGGTCTTTTATGATGAAAATTTATGATCTGTTTCAGTGGTTCCAAACCTGAGGCGATCGTCCCCGATTCGACCATTTAAACTATCTAGGGGTGCAATAAATAAGTGGGGGCAATGAGTATACAACATTGAACTGTAGAGAAAAACAGTATCAATTTTTATCTTGTTCTTTTATCTTGTGGTAAATAAAATCAATTGATTATGTTGAACAACTCCTTACAAATCACAGAAATGATTTGTACGTTTGGTTCGATTGATTTTTGAAAGAACATGAAGTTGTATTCAGGGTTAACTGAAAAGAAGTAAGCAGCCTTAGAGAAAGTAAATGACATAATAACAGTTGCAAAACTTTCATTTTTTAAATATCAACAAGCAACTGAATAGTTATCCCAGATTGGAATTCGAAAATTACTACTGGTAGCCCTTTTTTCAAATTGAAGCTCCCAGTTAATTTTTCCACTTTTTTCTGCGATGCAAATTTCATTAAAGTGGTTTAAAATTAGAATGTTTTTTGATTTGGGTCAAGAAACAGCTATCAGTGACATTTATTCGCTCTATAGGGAGATCATAATATGCAACGAGCACCTAATAATTTGTAAGAAGAATCTGTTATGTATGGAATACATCAAAACTCCACCTATCGGATTTACATTGAATCAAGCTTTACAATTTCGGACAACGCATACTTACCAGCCACTGTCGTGATTGAATTCAAGGTTCTTTCAAATTTACGGTTTGATATGGTTTAAATGCCAAGTTTAGATCGAATAGATTATTATCGAAAATACCTACCAATATACAAAATTTTATTGAAAGATTGTTTATGAAGCTATGCGTTGTAAAGTCAAGGACGATTTTTTTTTCGTGTAAACAGATTTGAGATGAATGCTTATCTTATAATCTGAGTGAATAAAAGTGATGATACTTCAGTTAACCTGGTTTGAATTTGGAAAATAGCTACAGGCATTGCCATCGGTTCGTACCGACATGATTAAACTACGCGGTAGGTAATCTACAGTCAACGGTGTAAATTGCCTACGCGGTAGGTAATATACAGTCGAGCACAGTGTAAAATAAAATTACTACATTACATTCTACCGCCCTTTCAGAGAGTTGCAACACCGATTTGGGAAATAACAAGTCCTCCCTTACATTTTTTCCCACACTGTGAATTTACAGATTTTCTTCCCTTTGTATAAAAAGTGTTCAATGCCATTTTCAAAGCACATACCTTTTTTAATCGGATAAATACGAATATAGCGAAGATAAGTCATTAATCTAAGGAGGTATTCTTAAAACAAAACGTTAGTATTGCATTTAGAATTATGTGTATCGATAAATACCACTTTATCGGTCTTTGAAGCAGACGCGCAGGGTTCGAAACCTTTGTTAGCTATAGCGTCTAAACCTGAAAGGAAGAATTATATTTCATAATGTTTGCTTTGGAAAATAGAATTTCAATTGCGATCGAAGAGAAAATTTGTACTGAGTTTGTTCGAATATTGAACATATGGCTCGATGTTATTCATCGTAATAAATTATACGCCTATATATCATACTGTTAATTATTAGATCCAATGAATCAAGTGAAAAAATAAATTCAACCAAATATATGCCGATAAGTTTAGAACGTTTTCACTTATACACGGGTATTAGAAATAGATTTGAGACAGTAGATCTCAAGTTAAGAGGACTTCTACTCATTTCTATTTTGATTGAATTACCCTGCAAAAACAGTGTTTCAATCTTGAACTAAGTGAAGTTATTCTGATTTCGGCACAATAACGCTACCTAATTCATAATTGGAAGTGAATTTGAGTTCGAATAGGTGGCCCAAAATCTCTCAGAAAATAAAATACATGCTATTCGACATGAAACAGTTTTTAAAAAGGGAAGCTAAACGGCTTACTCTTTGTTCCTGAGTGCTGGAGACACTTGATGCTTTCGAGAACCGTGTGAGAAAATATTAAATACAACCATAGTAATATAAAACTTCAGCATTTCTCTATCTCGTGGATTGTCAACTTCATTCATTATCACGGTCAAAAGCACTCGGCTAGTCAGGTAGAAATGTAATCAGGACAATGAGAGAACCGAATAGTGGACGAACAACTGGGCAAAAGGTGATTTTTGTATACAATGTTTTTGAATGCTCTTGAAATACGCGAATTTTAAATGATTGAAGATAGAAGAAAATACGACACTTAAGCACACCACCCGACACAGATCAGATCAAACTATCATCAGATCCCTCTGGAGAAATGTTGCTATCATCTGCAAATAAAACCACTTTTAAGGTAAGATAATCCGGAAGGGCATTTATGAATAG